GCCCAGGCAGCCTGCCAGCAGCCTCCCTAGGACCTGGGGGCTTTGACTCTCTCTCTCTCTCTCTCTCACACACACACACACACACACACACACACCCTCACTCACAGGCATGCACACACACTGCCCTTGTTGCCACGTCCCTGCATGAGAACCTCTCTCTCTCATGTGTCAAAGCTGCCCTCTGATCAGCAGAGTCCCAGTGGCATGTGGCTTAGGCACCGGGCTGCAAGTCACCGAGTTGGAGGCTCAAACCTGCCAGCTGCTCTGTAGGAGGAAGATGAGGCTGTCTGCTCCCCCAAAGACTTGCAGTCTAGGAAACTCTAGGAAACCAGGGTCCTTCCTGTAGGTGGTGATGAGTCAGACCCACTGGATGGTTGGCGGGGCGGGGCTGGGGGAAAGGTGGGGGGACTTTGTTTGTATTTGTTTGTTTGTTTGTTTAAGCGGGTGAGGAACAAAGAGATTAAGTAACTTGCCAAACCAGTAAGTGGTGGTGGCCTGTATTTGAACCCAGGCCTTCAGGGTTCAGATCCCAGGATCTGGGCACATGCATGCCATCCCATAGGAGGCAGACTCTGGTATAGCACACGCGCGTGCGCACACACACACAAACAAACCACACACACATGAACACGTAAACGTGTACAGGAACACACATGTGAACACACACAAACCACCACCAATGCACACACACGAATGCACATACACGAACACAAACCACACATACATATGAACACGCATACAAACACAAACTTGTACATGAGTACATAAACACAAACCACACAGAAACACACACACGAACACACACATGAACATACACACATGAATACACACGAACACACAAACATATAAACTTTGTACACGAGCACACACATGTGTGAACACATTAACCTGTACAGGCACAGCTTTCTCTGGCTGCTCTCTCCTGCCCTTCACCTGATGCCAGCATCCCCCAGGGCCCTTGTCCCTGCTGGCACACCCCAGACTGAGCACTTGCTCACCTGGAGAAGGCTCGCCTTCCTGCCCTGACTGGGAGCAGGTGACGCCCAAAAATCTGGGCACAGGGTCACTCGACACTCCAGTGCCCTGCTACCCTCTCGGAGCCTCGGTATCCCATCTGGAAAGTGAGGGGTGGGGCCCTGGAGCACTCCAGCTGTCAGTGCTTAGAGCAGATGACACAGGGCAGGCAAGGCTGGGGAGCAGCTCCCGGGGGTGGGGGTTTTGGTTGGGGTCTCCACACTCACCCCGAGGGCGCCTGTGCTCGCAGACCGGGTGTACAGACAGAACACGGAGCAGCTGGAGAAGGTGCAGGGCGAGTGGGAACAGGAGCATCGCACCACCTGCGAGGTGAGTGGTCCAGGCGCGGCCTGTTTCCCCAGCTGCTCTAGCTGCTCCATGGGGACAGACAGGTGTGGTGGGTGGTGAACGGTGCCATTCATTCAGTCCCTCGTTCACTCATCCATTCACTTGCCGCCTGCAGGGGCACCCACCCCTGTGCTGGGTCCCTGTCCCCGGGACTGGCACTCACCCCCTGGCTTTGTGCCTGGGTCCTTTGGTCACAGATCTGGGACTCTTTGCCGCTCTGTGCCGAAACACAGGCTCACATAAGGCCCGCAGCTTTCTGCCAAGGGGCAGGGCTGGAGATGGGTCTTAGGACTCCCTGTCCAGTGCTCTTCTCCCACCCCCAGGCTCTGGGAGGGGAGGAGAATGCAGCTCAATCCCCCTTCCCAGAAGCCCCAGGGGTTGACCAGGAGCTTGGAGTTGGGGCCCGTAGGGAGGGTCTTTTCTTTAGACTTGGCTTCCAGCAGAGGGACAAATCACCTCGCTGATTCATGGGTGGGGGCCAGCTCTCTCACCTCTCCGCTGTCCCCCCGCCCACCAGGCCTTCCAGCTGCAGGAGTCTGACCGGCTGACCATCTTGCGGAACTCACTGTGGGTGCACTGCAACCAGCTCTCCATGCAGTGCGTCAAGGACGACGAGGTGGGCTCAGTTGGCCAGCGCCCTCCCCCTCCCCCCTGCAAAGCCTGGTCGGAGTCTCAGACCACAGCTCCCCGCTCTGCTCCGATTGCCCCAAGGACAGGCCCCTAGTTCTCTGCCTGGACAACTGTTCTATCTCCAGACTCTGCTCACGGGGAGGGGTGGCAGCTGGGTCTCCTGCCCACAGAGGTTTGTAGACAGGATCCCCAACCGCTCTGCTCCAGCCCCAGTGCTTCCGGAGCGGGGGTCCAGTCTCTGCCCATCCCTAGACCTCCCCAAGGGTCCTGGTGGCCCTCACTGGGCCCAGCATGATGGGCAGTATGGGACAGGTCCTCAACATAAGGGGCCCCAACCCTGCGAATGCACCCCGTTTCCTGTGTCTGCCCTCCTTCCTCATCCTCACCTCACCTTGCCCACAGCCTCTGGGTTTGGGTTTTGTCCGAAAAACTCGAGCTTCCTGGGTAGTCTCCATAGAGCCCTGTAGGAGGGGCATGGGCTCTGGACCCCCTCGTGCTGGGATCCAATGCCCCACTACTGTCCTGCATACTTGCTCCATGACCTTGGGGAAGTCCCTTTCCTTCTCGGAGCGTCCTCACCTGTAAACGGAGGGAAACAGCATCCCTAACTGTGACGTAGAGGAGGACCGGGGAATTAAGTCCTTCACCCAGGGCCTGGAGCGTCACAGGAAGCAGGGGCGCAGCTCACCCCTCAGGCAGGTCTGGGCAGTTATCACCAAGTTCCCTGGTCATAGGCTGGGGGGAGCCGGCAGGCCAGCGCAGGGCTCAGGGGGCCCAGGGAGGGGGAGGCATCTGAGGGAGGGCTCCAGCCAGGCCTGGCACAGGCTCCCCCCTCTCCCTCAGCTCTACGAGGAGGTGCGGCTGACGCTGGAAGGCTGCAGCGTGGACGGTGACATTGACGGCTTCGTCCAGGCCAAGAGCACGGGCAGCGAGCCCCCGGGTGAGGTCCCTAGCGCAGGGTGCCAGCCCGGGATGGGGATAGGGTCGGGGGACAAGCAGGCTCGGGGGGGTGGGAGGGGGTGGGAGGATGAAGGTGAGACACCTTCTCAGAGTCTCCGCCCAGCCTGCAGGCCACGCCCTACTTCATCAGTGGTCCCCCACTAAACCCTGAGTCCAGGGTTTTCCATCTTAGTGGGTACCCAGAGGGGGAAGGTTTCTGATGCCAGGATGGGAAAGGGGGACCCCAGCCTCATCCTCTGGGTGAGGGCATGCTGGACATCGGATGGCAGAAGGCATTGGCCACACTGCCTTTGGCCACCCTGCCCGCAGCCCCGGTGCCCTACGTGAACTACTACGACCGGGAGAACGCCCTGTCCAGCAGCCCGGGCGTCCAGCCGTCCTGCGGTGTGATAAAGAGGTGAGCACTGCGGCTGCCGCTGCCAGAGCAGAGGCTGCTGGGCCACAGAGGAGAGCCAGGCAGTGCTCATGCCACATGCCACATACCCCGGGGTGTTTATGCCACAAAGCAGTTAGTGAGCATAAGGTCCCTCCACCAGCTCTTGAAGCACCTCCTGTTTACCCAGCCCCTCCTGTGTGGCCAGCAGAGGGCTTCTGGGTTGTACACCCTGTGGGGACAAGACAGGCGCCAACCAGCCTTGGGGAGCCCTCTGGACCACGCATGAAGAAGACCATCCCACTCCACCCCACCCACTGGAGACTGTGCTCCGAGTTCAGAGCATGGCCTTGTTCCTTAGCATCCTGGGCTGTGGTGGCCTCCCTGCAGCTGGCAGGGGACATGGGGGTGGAGGGGTTGGGGTCAGGGCCAGAGAACCCTTAGGCTTTTCCTGGACTCCAGCCTGGCCTGGTCCTGTCAGGTGGCAGGGTCCTAGTGCCATGCTGCTGGTATTGCTCAGGTGTGGGGCACACGCTCTCTGCTCTGTCCTGGGTCCCGAGCACTTTCCTGGTTCAGGTGACAGGTCTGCAGCCTGCTGAGGGAGCCCCTCCCACCCAGCAGCAGGGTCTCTCTGGGCACCATCAGTGGACTTGTGTGAGGTATGAGCATATGCGGGTCTCCCACCAACTCAGCCGAGCAGCCCCGCAGCACGGGGGCAGGTCCTGGCTGGGGGAGGCGGGGCCTGGTGGGCAAGGGGCTCACCAAGGCCCCAGAGCCTCCTGGAGGAAGGCTGGCTGGGAACAGGGGCTCCTGGGAGTCGTGGTGCTCAGGACCACAGCACACCGAGAGTCCCGTGCGTGGGGCGGACCCAGGAGACACACTCGCCCCTCACATTCTCACAGACCCGGGGGCTTGGGTCCCCATCTCCCCCCCCACCCCAGGCGAGGACCTAGATGTCAACAGAGGTGGTCATTTCGGCAAGGGGCAGCGTCAAGGAAGGGCAGAAAAGAGTGTGGTCCTGGGGGCGGAGGAAAAGATGGAGAAAAGACGGGCTTTCTACTCCCTGAAGAGCTACAGTGCTGCCCTGTGGGCGGCTAGGAGTGGGCCCTGACTTGAGAGCAGTGAGTTTGGTTTGGGGTTTGGCTGCAGGGGGGCAGTCAGGAGCTATCGGATGGAGCAGTCTGAACAAGGGGGGATTGGAGTAGTTAAGGTCAGGGGGCAGTGGCTGAGGCCCTCAGGAGAGGAGAGGGTCTGACAGTGGTCACGATGATCTCTTTGGGAAAACAAGGCAGGTGGGTGGAGGGCGGGATGGGCCTACACCTTGGAGGGGGTGCAGGAAGCAGGCAGTCTTTGTTCCCTCCCTCTCCCCCAGCTGCTCAGTCCCCCCCACCCCCACCCCACCCCCGTGTGCTGGGCAAGCCTTGCTCCTTGCCCAATGCCTGTGCGCTTCCATCCTGAGCAGCACGCCCCGCGGTATCGGAGGGAGCCGACTGCACCTCCCCACACCCCAGCTCTGCTCTGGCCTCCTAGCAGCCTCTCCCTCCCACCAGCCCTGCCCCTGGCTTCAGAGCCCCCAAAGGACAGGACCTGAGGGGCAGGGAGAGGAAGATTCCAGCAGGTTGGGTGGGTGGGGGCTGCTTCCGCCCCAGAGACTCAGATCTCCTGAGTTCTTCTGACCAGGAGGGGCCAAGGCTGCAGTCCCTTCCTGTCTGTCCTGCCCCTCACCCACAGGGCAAGTCATTGCCCAGCCCGAATATGGGCTCTCAGGGTCTCTGGTCAGAGCTGGCCCACTCCATTCCCCAAACCTATCTGCCCTCTTCCCCTCCCCGCACTGCCCGGGATCAGTAGTCCCCAGGCTCTGCCTGTTAGCCTTTCACTGTCTGTGGACAGCCCAGCCATGCCCTCATGCAGGGAAGTAAGGCAGCCCACATGCATGCATGCACGCACACACACACGCACGTGGCCCCCACACATCTCCTCCTGTTTTCTTTTATCCAACCACCCTTCATGACCGCCCGCTCAGGAGGTAGCCTCCCAGCCTAGACACTGTGAGCAGAGACCTGGTGCGGCCTAGGCTGGTAGAGGCCCCACTTGCCCATGGGGAGGTGGGTAGGAGTTTGGATAGGGGTGCATGGGTGTGGGGACCTGGGCATTATCCTGGGAACTCCAGACC